CTATCGAACTTTCTAGACAAGACAAAGAAGAATTATTAGAAGAGATTTCAAAATTAAAAAGAATCGTTCACCAACTCAAGGAAGAAAATAAAAAGAAAGACAAAGAAATTTCTAATAAAGATATATTAATATTAGAATTCGATGAGCGCGAAACAAAATTAAAAAACCGAATACGAGAAATATCAAAATCAGCTAGAAACACGCCTAAAGCACAAGATTATACAACAAGATTAGTAGATGAAAATGAGCGTCTTAAACGAGAAATAAATACGGTAAGAGATAATCAATTTAAAAGAATTAACAAAATAACCCAACAAAAAAATCGTATTACAGACCTTCTTTGTCAAAATTTTGTGCTAGCATTATTAAGATACCGAGATAGATTAGAACTTATAAATACACGAGAGGCTTTACAAAATGCACAAGCGTGGAATAATAATGAAGATGAATCTGATTCAGATGAAAATTCTTCAGACTTATATAATTTTGATTTAGACATAGCTACAATAGCTAAATTGGCCGATGCTATAGACCGATCCCTAGATGATACAACAATATGTAAAACTATTTTAACAAATCAAATTAAAAGAGCAATAAGAGCAATTCGACATAAATATACTTTCCTACAACAAGAACTAGCAAATGAACAATATGACCGTGATATATATAGGCAGGAGCGAGATCAGGCATTGCAAGAGCGAGATCAGTTACGGACTAATGCTCAAAACCAAGTAAACAGAATGATAGATTGTATAGCAAGAAAGCAGACCCATATTGGTGAATTGCTAGGAGAAAAACTAGCACTTCAGCTATTATATCGAAGGTGCAAAACTGAGGCTGACTTGTCAGAATTTAATCGAGCCTGGGTATTTAATCGGTATCAAAAATGGAAGGCTCGGGAAATTAATTCTCGCCAGAATATTTTAATTTTAAATCAACAAATTTTTGTGCTACAGAATAACCTCCCAAATCAAATAAACATGGCTTTACTTGCAGGGTTTGTAATGCCTGAATTAAATAGCTTTGAACAGGATTATGAAAAGTATATAGATGATTTTATAGCGTATATCAATTTAGCAAATATAAATAATGAGCAAAGAATTCGCAATATATTAGACCAATCAGTAAAAGGAGAAGTGCGAGAGTGGTACAATAGAGAGTTTGATAACAAAAACTGGGAGTTACAAAACGTACTTGATAATTCTGCTATAGGTGCAGCTATTACGAATATCCGTGCAGCCAATGCAGCAGCTATAACAGGAGCGGCCGCATCTTTCCCAAATATTCTAGCAGGTAGTGCAGGTGCAGACATTATCCCAGCTTGAGGACTTGATGAAGATTGGACAATAGCTGGAGGACGACCAACCAATGCAGCACCAGTTGCACCAAATGCTAGAGGAGGAGTTCCTATTATTCTTGCAGGAATCCGGTCTGGACAAAGGTTGTTTCAAATTAAAAAGCATTTTCCATCTACTGATAGATATTTGAGAATGTTTGAAATTGGGGCATTAAAACAAGGAGCGCATGAAAGTGCATCCTCTTATTTGGCAAAAATTCTAAAGTATGGAGATCAATTAGGTTATACTCCAGCGCAAAAGAAAACACAATTTATGTCTGGAGTAAGAGATGATATAAAGGAGGAAATTTATAGGATTGGTCAGCACAGGGCTATTAATAATATTCTTGATAGTTTAGCAGAACTTGAATTACGTTGTGGAGTATTAGGTCTGCCACCATCATATTATAATTATATACCAGCTCCTCCTATTATTCCCAATAATGTGCCTCAACAGCAAGGA